AGCTGTACTAGATGTTATACGATCCCCTTCTCCCTCTCCACCCCACAAGCAAAGTGTTCCTTCTGGAGGCAAAATCGCCTTCAATAGAGGACTACTGTAATAGACCATGTGAGAAATAAAAAGGGCAGACGTGGCATATGGTAGGGATAACATCTAAAAGGTTGCCAAGTGTTTGGATAGGAATGTGACTGAGGAAGAGGATTGAAAAATCAAACAGAGCCCAGCTGGTGTGGCTCAATGGTTGAGCATCAACCTATGAACCAGGAGCTCAGAGTTAGATTCTCTCTCTGTCTCTCCCTTGCTCCCTGAAATCAATAAGAAAATATTTTCAAAACAGATAAAAAGATCAACCAGAACCACAGGACATGCCCTAGAGGCCATGCAGTCTAATCTGCTCATAACTGCTTGCAACGTTGTAAACTTCAGAGGGAATTCAGTAAAACCTACTAATAATCACAAAAATTATCTTGCTCTTTGATTCAGAAATTCCATTCCTAGGAATTTATCTAAAAAAAATTAAAATGAAGACAATCTATGTACAAAACAACAGTAGTTACATGGAGATAGTGACCATGTTGTTCTTAACGATTAAACTGTCATGCCTACCACAGTGCCTGTAAACAAGAGATCCACATTTAAAAGGTTGATTTAAGTAGTATGAGTTTCCTGTAAATTTTGGAAGGCAGCTATGCTCACCTCCTGTAAATTTTGGAGATTAAACCCTTATCGGAGATATCATTGGCAAATATGTTCTCCCATGCAGTGGGCTTTCTTGTTTTGTTGATGGTCTCTTTTGCTGTGCAGAAGCTTTTTATTTTTATGTTGTCCCATTTGTTTATTTTCTCCTTAGTTTCCATTGTCCTAGGAGCTCTATCAATAAAGATATTGCTACCACAAATGTCTGCTACTTTGCTGCCTATAGCTTCTTCTAAGATTTTTATGGTTTCCCATCTTACATTTAAGACCTTTATCCATTTTGAGTTTATTTTTGTGTATGATGTAAGTTGGTGATCTAGTTTCATTTTTTTTGCATGTATCTGTCCAATTTTCCCAACACCATTTATTGAAGAGACTATCTTGACTCCATAGTATGCTGTTGCCTCCTTTGTCAAATATTAATTGAGCATAATGGCTTGGGTCGATTTCTGGATTCTCTGTTCTGTTCCATTGGTCTATATGTCTGTTCTTGTGCCAGAACCAGGCAGTTTTGAGAACAGTGGCTTTGTAGTATAGCTTGATATCTGGTATTGTGACCCCTCCAACTTTGTTCTTCTTTCTCAAGATTGCTGTAGCTATTTGAGGTCTTTTTTTTATTCCAGATGAATTTTTGGAGAGTTTGTTCTAGGTCTTTGAAATATGCCGTTGGTATTTTAATGGGGATTGCATTGACTCTATAGATTGATTTGGGTAGTATGGACATTTTAATGATGTTGATTCTATCAATCCATGAACATGGTATATTTTTCCATTTGTTTATGTCTTCCTTTATCTCTTTTTTCAGCTTCCTGTAATTTTCTGAGTACAGGACCTTTACCTCCTTGGTTAAATTTATTCCTAGAGCCGAAACCAGTTTGGCTCAGTGGATAGAGCGTCGGCCTGCGGACTGAAGGGTCCCAGGTTCAATTCTGGTCAAGGGCATGTACCTGGGTTGCGGGCACATCCCCAGGCGGGGATGTGCAGGAGGCGGCTGATGGATGTTTCTCTCTCATGGATGTTTCTGACTCTCTGTCTCTCTCCCTTCCTCTCTGTGAAAAATCAATAAAATATATTTAAAAAAAGAAAATTTATTCCTAGAGCCCTGACCAGTTTGTCTCAGTGGCTAGAGCGTCGGCCTGTGGATTGAAGAGTCCCAGGTTTGATTCCAGTCAAGGGCATGTACCTTGGTTGTATGCACATTCCCAGTAGGGGGTGTGCAGGAGGCAGCTGATCGATGTTTCTCTCTCATGGATGTTTCTAACTCTCTATCCCTCTCCCTTCCTCTCTGTGAAAAATCAATAAAATATATTTTTAAAAAAATTTATTCCTAGGTATCTTAACTTACTACTTAACAAAAGGAAGATAAACAATCTAATAAAAAAATGGCAAAGGACCTAACTAGACCCTTTTAAAAAGAGGACATACAGAAGGCCAAGAGACATATGAAAACATGCTCAAAGTCACTACTCAACCGAGAGATGCAAATCAAAACGGCAGTGAGGTACCATCTCACACCTGTCAGAATGGTTATCATGAACAAAGCAACAAACAAGACAAGTGCTGTCGAGAATGAGGAGAAAAAGAAACCCTCTTGCACTGCTGGTGGGAATGCAGGCTGGTGCAGCCACTGTGGAAAACAGTATGGAGTTTCCTCAAAAAACTAAAAATGGAACTCCCATTTGACCCAGGAATCCCACTTCTAGGAATATATCCCAAGAAAACAGAAACACCAATCAGAAATGATATATGCACCCCTATGTTCATAGCAGCACAATTTACAATAGCTAAGATTTGGAAACAGCCTAAGTGCCCATCAGCAGATGAGTGGATTAGAAAACTGTGGTACATCTACACAATGGAATACTACGCTGCTGTAAAAAAAAAAAAAAAGAAGACATTCTTACCATTTGCAACAGCATGGATGGAACTGGAGAGCATTATGCTAAGCAAAATAAGCCAGTCAGAGAAAGATAAATATCACATGATATCACTCATATGTGGGATATAATGATCAACATAAACTGATGAACAAAAATAGAACCAGAGTCATAGAAGTATAGAACAGACTGTCCGACCTATGAGGGAAGGCAGGGGTAAGAGATCAACAAAGGACTTGGATGCATGCATATGAGCATAACCAATGGACACAGACAGTAGGAGGGTGAGGGCATGTGCTGGGGGGTGGGAGCAGCTGGGGAGAGGTCAATGGGGGAAAAAGGAGTCTTATGTAATACTTTAAACAATAAAGAATTTTTAAAAAAGAGGTTAATATAAGATTCAGAGATGAGATTGAGGATTCTGGAGAGAGAAGTTGTAGCTAATGAAACAAAATCCCAGAGCAGGTGGGAAGGGCAGATAACAAGAATGCAAATAGAGGGCTGGCCAGTGTGGTTCAGTTGATTGAGGCTTGTTTCTTGTACCAAGAGGTGGCCCTTGGATTCCCTGCCAGGGCATGGCCCCTGTTGGGGCTCCATCCCCAGTAGAGGGCGTGCAAGAGGCAGCCCATAGATGTTTCTCTCTCATTGATGTTTCTCTTTCTTTCCCTCTCCCTTCCTCTCTCTCTACGTCAATAAAAAATATATTTAAAAAGAAAAAAAGAAGAATGCAAGTTCTAACTCCTTTTTCAGAGAGAAGGCAACAACCAGGAGAATTTGTAATGGAGAAAGTGCAAAGAGAAGTTGGGTGGAGGAACTTACAGAGGGCTTCAATTAATCACATCACCTGCAGAGTAAAAGCCAGAACCACCCAAGGTTTAAACAAAAATCTCAAAGCTTGCCTGAGGGTATTTCTTAAAAACAAGATTTATGCACTTTCTGTGAAAAACTGCTATGGAACATGCTGTTCAGAAATGAGGACTCCTGGGACATGCAATATGCAGAGACTAGAAATAATAAGGAGTTACGCAGTCAACTTTCTTTTTTTTTTTTAATATATTTTATTGATTTTTTACAGAGAGGAAGGGAGAGGGATAGAGAGTTAGAAACATCGATGAGAGAGAAACATTGATCAGCTGCCTCCTGCACACTCCCTACTGGGGATGTGCCTGCAACCAAGATACATGCCCTTGACCGGAATCGAACCCAGGACCCTTGAGTCTGCAGGCCGACGCTCTATCCGCTGAGCCAAGCCAGTTAGGGCAACTTTCTTTCTACTGAAGTCCCTAGCAACTTGATTTTTAAATTGCCCTCTAGCCCTGGTCGGAGTGGCTCAGTTGGTAGGAGCATTGTCCCATGCACCAGAAAGTCTCGGGCTAATTCCTGGTCAGGGCACATGCATAGGTTATGGGTATGATCCCCAGCAGGTTCAAGAGGCAACCGATCCATGTAGTTCTCACATTGATGTTTCTCTCTCCTTCTCCTCCTCTCTTTCTAAATCAATAAAAGAAATTAAAATAATTATAAATAAGTAAATAAATTGTCCTCTAGTTCTGAGCATCTACCCACAGATCAAAGGGTCTGGGGACTTCAATTCCAGGTCAAGGGCAGGTGCCTGGGTTGCCAGCTAGTCCCCAGCCCCTGTCAGGGAGTGTGCAGAAGGCAATCAAACCAGGAGCCAACCAAACCAGGAGGCAACCAATGGATTTCTCTCTCTTACATTGGTGTTTCTTTTCCCCTCCCTTCCCTCCACTCTCTAAAAAAATAAAAATAAAATAAAATAAAAATCAATGGAAAAAAATCCTCCAGTGAGGATTACAAAACCACACACAAAAAACAAATACTTTAAACAATTGCCCTCTAAATATGAAATCCCTGTTAATTTGGCAGAGATTCCACAGTTCTAGTGTGAAGCCACGCATGTAAATTAAAGTACTGTTTTGCTAAGTGAAATAAGCAAGCCAGAGAAAAACAAGTATATGATTTCACTTATATGTGGAATCTAATGAACAAAATAGACTAACAAAATAGAAATAGACTCGTAGAGACAGAGAACAGACTGATAGCTGTCACAGGGGAAGGGCGTTCGGGGTTGGGGGTTGGGAGACTGGGTGAAAAGGGTGGCGGGATCAAGCAAAAAAACCAAAAAACAAAAAAGGAAATCCTCCTGACAGCCATACGGTGATTACCAGACGAGAGGGAAAAAGGGGTGGGGGAAGGTAGAAGAGTGTAAGGGGGAATAAATGGAGAAGGCAGGGGATTTTACTTGGCGTGGTGAATACACAATGCAACATACTGCTGCTGTACTATAGAATTGTAAAAATAAATTAAGGTTCATACAGTGACCAGAAGGCGCTGAGTGGAAGAGTGGTGGGCGTGGCCAACGAGAGGGCTGGAGGCCCGCCCCCTTCCCACAGCGCACCGCGGCGGCGCCCAGCGTGCGCCTCCCTCTCGCTGGCTCCCGGCTCGGAGGAGAGTTCGACCATGGACGGGCTCCGGGCTAGTGCGGCTTTGCTGAGGCGCGGGCGGCTGAGACGCCGGCGCCAGCCTCAGTCACACAGCGGGTCGGTGCTGGTCCTGCCCCTGAGGCCCAGGAAAATCCGCAGGCAGCTCAGGAGAAGTGCTGCGTCCCGCATGGCGGCGCTGAGGGCCCAGACGCTGCCCAGCGAAGACTCGGAGGACTCGCGGGTGGAATCGACCGTGGACGGTCCCCGGGACCCGCCGCCTGGAGGGGCGACGGCCACCCCGGATGCGGCCCGGCGAGAGCCGTACGGCCACCTGGGCCCTGCCGAGCTGCTGGAGGCCTCGCCCGCGGCCCGCTCCCTGCAGACCCCGCCGGCGCGTTTGGTGGAGGCGCAGACCCCGCCGGCGCGCCTGGTGCCCGCTTCGGCGCCGCCCTCGCGCCTGGTGGAGACCTCGGCCCTGCTGTGCTCTGCCCAGCACTTGGCGTCCGCGGCCCCCGCGACGCTGTCGGGGTCGCAGGTGGGTAGCACCGGCGGGGAGCCAGCCTGGGACTCCCCATTGCGGCGCGTCTTGGCCGAGCTGAACCGCATCCCCAGCAGCCGGCGGCGGGCAGCACGCCTCTTCGAATGGCTCATTGCGCCCATGCCACCCGATCATTTCTACCGGCGCCTGTGGGAGCGGGAGGCGGTGCTGGTGCGGCGGCAGGACCACACCTACTACCAGGGTCTGTTTTCTACCGCCGACCTGGATGCCATGCTGCGCAACGAGGAGGTGCAGTTTGGGCAGCACCTGGACGCCGCGCGCTACGTCGACGGGCGGCGCGAGACCTTGAATCCGCCGGGCCGGGCCCTGCCCGCTGCCGCGTGGTCCCTGTACCAGGCCGGCTGCTCCCTGCGCCTCCTTTGTCCCCAGGCCTTCTCGACCACCGTGTGGCAGTTTTTGGCGGTGCTCCAGGAGCAGTTTGGAAGCATGGCGGGCTCCAACGTTTACCTCACGCCCCCCAACTCGCAGGGCTTTGCCCCCCACTACGACGACATCGAGGCTTTTGTGCTGCAGCTGGAAGGTCGGAAACTCTGGCGCGTCTACCGACCCCGGGTCCCGACTGAGGAATTGGCCCTGACGTCCAGCCCCAACTTCAGCCAGGAAGACCTTGGTGAGCCGGTGCTGCAGACCGTGCTGGAACCTGGAGATTTGCTCTATTTTCCTCGGGGCTTCATTCACCAAGCCGAATGCCAGGATGGGGTGCACTCTCTCCACCTCACCTTGTCCACGTACCAGCGCAATACCTGGGGTGACTTCTTGGAGGCTGTACTGCCTCTGGCGGTGCAGGCTGCCATGGAGGAAAATGTGGAGTTTCGTAGGGGACTGCCCCGAGACTTCATGGATTACATGGGGGCCCAGCATTCGGATTCTAAGGATCCTCGAAGAACTGCTTTCATGGAGAAGGTGCGGGTCTTGGTTGCCCGCTTGGGACACTTTGCTCCGGTCGATGCTGTGGCTGACCAGCGAGCCAAAGACTTCATCCACGATTCTCTGCCTCCCGTGCTGACTGACAGGGAGAAGGCACTAAGTGTTTACGGGCTCCCAATTCGCTGGGAGGCAGGAGAGCCTGTGAACGTAGGAGCCCAGCTGACAACAGAAACGGAAGTGCACATGCTTCAGGATGGGATAGCCCGGCTGTTGGGCGAGGGAGGCCATCTGTTTCTCTATTACACAGTGGAAAACTCCCGTGTTTATCACCTGGAAGAGCCCAAATGCTTGGAGATATTACCCCAGCAAGCTGATGCCATGGAACTCTTACTCCGCTCCTACCCCGAGTTTGTGAGGGTAGGGGACCTGCCCTGTGACAGCGTGGAGGACCAGCTTTCCTTGGCCACCATGTTGTATGATAAGGGGTTGCTGCTCACCAAGATGCCTCTTACCTGAACTAGTTTCTCGTTGATTGCTGGAAACAAGGCAGCAGTGATGACTCTTTCCTACCACCACCACCTTGTTCTGGAGGGGAAAAACTCACGTTCTTACCTTGATGACCATCGTTGTGCTCACACTTACCTTTAGGCCTGCTGCAGTGTCAAAAAACTCAGAGGATGTTTTAGGAACCACCACATCTAGGCACAGAAATAAAAGCAGAAGTTGGAGGTGGAAAAAAGCTATTTCTACCCAAGTAACCTTGATCCCTGATCATTTCAGAATACGAACTTAATCATCCGCCTCAGGCTTCAGTGTACTGTGTAGCACTTGCTGTCGTTCTGCTTGAGACATGAGAAGTTTTTATTTGGAATTGCTTTGCATCCTTAATTTGAGTTCTCATTCATCAGTTTGGGGGAGGGTCGGGGTTAGTATCCTGTTTGTTATTGTGAGTTTGTATGAATGTTAAAAGTTATTAAAGTGCCAAAGCATGTTTCCCTTTTCTAAGGCTAGATTATTATGTGGCATGATTTGAAGGAATGTCGGAGGGGGGGAGGAAGATGTGGATAATCTATAATGGCCTTGGTCAGTGGTCGGCAAACTGCGGCTTGCGAGCCACATGCGGCTCTTCGGCCCCTTGAGTGTGGCTCTTCCACAAAATACCACGTGCGGGCGCGCACGTACAGTGCGATTGAAACTTCGTGGCCCAGGCGCAGAAGTCGGTATTTTGTGGAAGAGCCAACTCAAGTGGCCAAAGAGCCGCATGTGGCTCACGAGCCGCAGTTTGCCGACCACTGGAGGTGAAAGGTAACTTTGATAGTTGTAGGATTGGGGCCAATTCTATAACTTTGGGGGTAATTTATTCATTTTAATCATGCTACTTGAACCCCCAACAGCACAATCATATTAGAAAAGTTATAATATATTATCTTTTTGGGAGTATGTTTTTGCTCAGTGCTTGTTTGCATCAGTGGCTGGCACTGTCTCCTAGTTATGATAGCATAGGTTTTAATAAACCAGCTTGTAGTGAGCTGGCCCTGAGGGAAGGCTGGTGTTCAAGTTACTTTCCACTCTCATTTTTTTCTGGCAGTTGGAAGAAACTTCCCCATATCTGGCAAGTGCATATTCTCATGTTGGTGGAAAAGAGCCTGGTGTACCAGAGAGAGCATTGGACTTGGAACCAGAAGACCTGGGTTTGGGGTGGTGGCTGGTAGGCAGCTGGCTGAATGACCTGAGGCTGCTGCTACGCCTGGGCGCACAGATTTTGTAAGTATATATTGGTCCAGATTGGTGTCTTCACCTCATTATTTAGATTTTATCTGGAACTTTTAAGATCCTATCACCATAACTGATAGGTTCTGTTATATAAAGTTGAGAACTTTATAAAGTCTTTCTTTTTTAAAAAAAAAATATATATTTTTATTGATTTTAAAGAGGAAGGAAGAGGGAGAGAGAGAGAGAGAGAGAAACATCCATGATGAGAGAGAATCATAGATCAGCTGCCTCCTGCAAGTCCCCCACTGGGGATCGAGCCCACAACCTGGGCATGTGCCATTGACCAGAATCAAAACTGGGACTTTCAGTTCCCAGGCTGACGCTCTATCCAATGAGCCAAACGGGCTAGGGCTAAAGTCTTCCTTTTAAAGTTGCAAAACCATAGATATACATAATATGATAGCTCTCCCTCCAACCCCACTTTTCAGAGGTAACCACTATTAAAGGTAAGCCCATATGGTTTTTTTGGGGTGTTCTACATTAGTTTTTGTTTTGTACTTGTTTTTCTAATGTCATTCCCCCCCGCCCCCAACTTTCAAATCAGTTCAAATAGAGCTCCCTCATTCATTTTTTTTAAAGGGATAAAACAGTAAATAAAAGTGAGGTGGGGAGGTGTAGCGGGAGGAAAAAAATAACAGAAGGACGCAGAAGAAGCCCAATAAGGAAAAGAGGTAGTAGCCTTTCCTGGCTCTCATCCTACAGGACTCATAATTAAGTCACAAAACATGCAGATCCTGCCCAGCCAGTGTGGCTCAGTGGTTGAATGTGGTCGACCTGTGAACCAAGAGGTCACAGTTCGATTCAGGGCACATACTTGACTTGCAGGCTCGATCCCCAGTAGGGGATGTGCAGGGAGCAGCCAATCAATGATTCTCATCATTGATGTTTCTACCTCTCTTCTCCCTCTCTGAAGTGAATAAAAATATCTTTAAAAGAAAACACCCACAAAAACATCCAGATCCTAAAAGCGTAGGACTCACCCCTGGAAAACCTACCTTGAAAAGTTTCTTGAAGAAAAGTATGTAGTTTCTGTGGTTTTTGCCCCTCTTTGGGCTGCAAGTAAATATGTTTTGCTTCCCCCTTTACTTTTTTTATGGCCTTCTCTATCTTGAATATTTTCTGCGTCAGCAAGTCCTTTTGGTTTAGTGTTTGAATCTAGATCAAAACAAATAATATTGGGAAAAAACAGCCACTAGGCTACAAATCATCAAAAAGCATTAGTGAAGTAACTTAGTGCTCGTGCTTGTTAGTATTAGGTGGCACGTAAATACCAGAGAGCATTGTTCTCTTGTGATATTGGTGGGGCATTTTTACATTCGTTAGTGAAAAATTAACTCTTTGTGCCTGATGAAAGCAATCTGCTACGAAATGTCTGCTTGGTGTGAGGTTGGTTTTGTGAATTATATCTGAAGAAAGAATCTTACACATTTTTAAAGTCCTTTTCACTCTATTTCTTCCACTCCTCTAGCAGCTTTGAAAAATTAGAACCACCTATTCAGCTAGAGTGTTCTTTTGGTGACAGAGCCCAGATCAGGAAAGGTTAGAAGGAGAAAGAAAACGTAGGAGGCCAGCTCCAGCCCCGCATTCCTTCGTTATACCTATCTGGGGGGGGGGGGGGGGGGTGGGGGGGGGGGGACACAACAACTTTGGTTTAGGAGATGGTGAGGAGAAAATAGGAAAGGAGGAAACTATTGTAGAAACAACAAATCCTGATTTTGAGAACTACTTAATAGAACTAATAGGATTTTGGTTTTGTCTTTTTACTAAGGGGATTTTATAATCCTATTTTGCACAGATGTTTTGTGTCTTCAAATGATGTGGTATCTGCCCTAACTGGTTTGGCTCAGTGGATAGAGCGTCAGCTTGCGGACAAAAGGTCCCAGGTTCGATTCGGTCAAGGGCATGTACCTTGGTTGCGGGCGCATCCCCAGTAGGGGGTGTGCAGGAGGCAGCTGATCGCTGTTTCTCTCTCATCGATGTTTCTAACTCTCTATCCTTCTCCCTTCCTCTCTGTAAAAAACCAATAAAATATATTTAAAAAAAAAAACTTGTATAAAAAAAAATGATGTGGTATCTGTCTAGGATTGTAGAAAGTACTTCCGTGATGGGGGAAAATGGTGTGTACACATGCTGTAAGGGCAAAAAGCGTTTGAAGAATTCTTGCAAGCCCTGAATTTTCCCTTGAAAACACAGCTTGTATTTATTTACCCTGTTCTTGATCTCCTGAAGCATTTCTTTGTTTCCTTCACGTTGTATCTTGAGTATCTTCATTGCCTGATGAATTTCCCTGAAAAATAAGAAAACTTCTTAGATTGTTTCTATCCTTTAAAAAAGCATGGGGGTGGAAAATACAGGACTTGGAATCAGTCAAGAATCCTAAATTCCAATCCTAACTATGCACTTTTGCTGTGCCTTATCCTCAAGTGGTATGATGTTTAACTTTTAAGGATGTTACTTAGTTTTTGAGATGATATATTTGAAGGTACTAATAAATACCATTTATTGAATGTCTTTATGACAGGTAGTGAACATTAATCACCACAAACCCATAAAATGGACTATCGTCTGCATTTGATATATGAAGGAAAAAAAAGGGGCTCTGAGAGTTTAATTAATTTACTTGGACTCACATAGCTAGTGCAGGCATGAGTTGGTATTCAAACCCTAGACTTTACTTTAAAGCCTGTTGTCACAGTAGGCACTTTTGATACATGTTAATTGAATAAATTAATAACTTAAAACACCTGGGATAGAGAATAGGTGCGTGAACTATATGAGCTTGACTTTCAATCTAATGTAAATTCGTTTTTCTGTTACCCATTTTGGTAAGTAGGTGAATGGCACAGGTGAGCACATGCTTTTACAGGCATTAGGCAGCCACAAGGCTGTCTTCTGTTAACAAGGACGGGCAGTACATGGGGTAGGGGAAGGAACCAGAGGTTTAGTGCTTACTTTAGAACAGCATCATGTTTTTCTAGGAGCAGCACGTCTAGGAAGGTGTCCCTGACCCGGTCCCCTTGAAGGTTGAGGGCTAGGATGCTACGGCAAGCTTCCAGACGTACACCTGGTGATGCTTCATAGTGTATAGCCCAGAGCAGGAGGTCTGTCAGCTGGGGACTCACTTGGCCAATCTGTCCCAAAGCTGCAGAGATCAGAGGGCAGCGTCTTCCACTGTCACTTAAGAATAATCTGGCTATATCCTAATAATGTGTAGGCAGCCACTAAGTATTTGTTTTGTTTATTTTCTCCCTTTTGGATGATAATCACCATTAGAGTTTCGGAGATGAGTTTGAGTAGAGCATTATCGCCAAAGGATTCCTCGGAGGAGTGTTCTATCCCATCCTTGCCTATTAGGATATGAGAATACACTACCTGTCGTAAATAGGTAAATGTAGGGATGAGATATGTGACTCATAACTCAGAAAACCAGCCTAGTCAAGGCAGAGTGATGCTATGGCAAGCTTTAGTCGTACTCCTGGTGACACTTCATAGAGCCTAGCAGCCCCTAGCCCATAACAGGTCTGTCAGCTGGGCCAATCTGTTAAGAAAGGGGGCACAATAACTTCACAGGTTTACCTCGGGCCGATTCTGCTAGGGACCTGCCAAAGACTCAAGCAACGTAGAAGATCCTTAAAAAGAAACTAGGAAATGTTGAGGGCAGGGTTTTAGGTCTGTAGCAGTCTTGAATGTGGTCTCACTTGTATAGAGTCCTATAGTTGAAATCTCCAGAGAAAGCAAGTGTATCCAACAGTGTTTTCCAAGTGGATTCCTACTTGGAACTAATTAAATTGTCAGGGACTGTCAGCCCCTTTGCCTTAACAAGTTTGACATTGACCTAGACTCAGGATCCTTAACTAAAAATTTAAAAGCAAAAAATAATTGAATTTCTCAGGCAGGGAACTTCTGAGCAGGTGTGATCATCTCCCCTACACTCCACCCCCTACTAGAGAAATTCTGGGGATCATTTGTACTAGCTTATGGAAAAGATATTTGAGGTTGAGGAGCTGGGGCCATTTTCTCTGTCATACCTTGAAGGGCAAAGGCCTTGATTTTCCAGTAAGGATCTTTCTGTATCAGATTCCGGAGGCATTCAAAAACCTGGGATAAGAAAGAAAGAAAACACCTGGGATGGATAAAAGGCAATGTTGAGTGGAGAAGACCAGAGCAAAAATGAACGAGAGGAAGGGACCCCTCTTGTCTGAAAAATGACATATCCTAGTGACAAATGAGCTAGAGTCTGAAGTATTACCCTGCACGCGTAATATATTAGCTGAATTATCTCCTATCTGTCCATTGTTTTTCTCAGCTCACAGATCTATATGGTGATACAGGCTTCTTTTGAATACCTCCATCAGGTTTTCCCCTAATAACGTGGGATTACAACTTCGCTCACTGGAGTTGATCTTAAAGCCCATAAAAAGGTGAGAAGAAGATTCAAGGATGTGCTCTAGAGGAACGTCTGGGCTGGCTGGGAGCTAAATGTGGTCCCAACTGATAGATGTGGCCCATATATCCCCTCACCTTCCTGGTTCTGATCTCTCATTCTGTGTCCCCACAGAATGGTGAGTGTACTGTGGACAACAAGGGAAGCTCAGGGTAATGCTCTCTTCGGGTTATCAGGTAAGATGGGATCGTGTTTCCTTGACTCACCATTGTATTACGGATCTGCAGGGCACCTGCTGCTAAACAGGCTGCTCGCCGAACTGCCATGAAGTCATCAGAGAAGCAGTTAAGGAAGCTGGGGAAAAGCTTGGCGGTCATGAGCTTGAGCCCACCAATCAGAGACAGGGCTTCCACACGCTCTTGGGAATTTCCTAGACTCAGCTTGATTCTGTAAAGTACAGGTGCTTTTATTTCCCCTCTTCAAACTTTTGATGCTCCTTCCCCCCAGTGCCCTCAGGATAAAATCCAACCTCTGTAGGCTCTCCATTATCCATTTCCACCCTTTCCTAGTCAGCCTTATCCCCTATTAGGTTAAGTTTCACTGGGTAGAGACTCGACTGTCTTATTTACTTAAATCCCTATTACCTAATTATGTTGAATGACTAAATAAAAGACACTTTCAAACATGCACCTCTTGCTTGCTACAGTTCTCTTTGCTGCCTTCACCTGTGCCATGCTCATTTCTATATTTGGCTCCCAAATGTCTTTCCTTCTCTTTGCCTGTGTAGTCTTAGCTGTCCTCCATGAAACTTGACCTTATTAGATATTTGTGTATCTTGCCTGTATAATCAGAATCATGTCATACTTTTGAACTCTTAATCACCAAAATAGTGACTAACACCTAGTAGGCACTGAATGATTCTGTCCCTAGCCACATTGTTAGTATCTCTAAGGACTGTTAACCTTTTGTTTTATCTAAAAAAATAAAATAAAATAATCCTGCAGTGGCACCTCGTACAATGCTGAGCATACGGAGCAGCTCCCCAAAGGCTGGCTGGCTAAATCCCAGGGCCTCTGAACATGTTTTGAGAATAGAAAAGTTTCTTTCTTCATGTTGCCTCAGTTTACCTGATTGTATCATGCAGCTCTTTCCCAAGATTCATTCGCCCCAGAGTTTCGGCAGCTGCTTGTCTTACTTCCTTATTCCAGTCACTCCACATCAGCTGGATCAACTTATGTTTCAAATCCTATGAGTAGGTGTAATAATTAGCTACCATTTATTGAATATCAGTTTTGTACTTGACACTGTGCTCAGAGATTTTACCCATCACTTAATCCTCTCAAACAATCCAATAAAGCAGATATAACCATTTACAGATGACAGAATGCAGGTTTAGATGTACTTGCTCAATGTTAAGTTGAGTGCTGGAGCCAGGACTCAGACCCAGGTCTGTTTTCTAAGCTCATGTTTCAAACTACAATACTATGGCCTTGGCCTATTTGACTCAGTAATTATGTGACCTATATATCCCCTCACCTTCCTGGGTCTGATCTCTCATTCTGTGTCCCCACAGAATGGTGAGTGTACTGTGCACAACAAGGGAAGTTCAGGGTAATGCTCTCTTCGGGTTGATCAGGTAAGATGGGATCTGAAGGGTTGTGGGTTCGATTCCGGTCAAGGACACATACCTTGGTTGCAGGCTTAATCCCCAGCCCCATGTGCAGGAGGAAACCAGTTGATGTCTCTCTCACATCAATGTTTCCCTCTCTGTCTCTCCTGCTCCCTTTCACTTTCTCTAAAAATCAATGGAAAAATATCCTCGGGTGAGGATTAACAAACAAACAAAAAAATAAACTATACTATGTTGGGGCAATGTAATCTGTACTTGAGAGACTTAAGATTTGAAAGTGATGCATTAATAGGGTGACCAATTCATCTCAATTTGCCTGATACTTTGCTGGTTTTAGCACTAAAACTGCTATGTCCTGACTTAGACAAACCAGAACAGTTGATAACTTCTGTATATTGATACTTCTCCCAGAGGGGAAGGGACAAAGATTATTACAGTTGTAGTTGATTTTGTGAATTTGTCTGAGCTATTCTCCCTGCTAGAAACATCTCCGTTTTTCACCCCTACCTGGTACTTGATGTTTTCCTACTCTGCTTTTCTGATTTAGTTCAAAAGTCATCCCCTCAGTGAACTCTCCTCTGTAACCATAGGGAAAACCCCCATACTCATACTATCTTAAAACTGCTTCTGTTTTAGCTATTTATAACCAACTGAAGACATTATCTTTCATCCCCAGCGCTAGCATGTAGGATGTGGCCAGAAACTGCTTGCTTACTGAATGGGTGAACTGAGGGACATACTATCTTTCTTTTTTTTTTTTTTTTTAACATATTTTATTGATTTTTTACAGAGAGGAAGGGAGAGGGATAGAGAGTTAGAAACATCGATGAGAGAGAAACATCGATCAGCTGCCTCCTGCACACCCCCTACTGTGTATGTGCACGCAACCAAGGTACATGCCCTTGACTGGAATCCAACCTGGGACCTTTCAGTCCACAGGTCGACACTCCATCCATCGAGCCAAACCGGTCAGGGCCATACTACCTTTCTTAACTCCAGCAATCTGATGTAACGTTCTCATCTTTACCCTGTCCCCTGCTTGCTCTGCATGTCTTTTTACTTTTAGTCCTGAGAGATAGCTGCTAAGGGGATGAATGTGCAGATGAACTGGATGTTAAGATGATATTGTTAAAATGCAGATTATGATTGAGTTCACCTGAGGTGAGATTGTGCATTTCTAACAGCTCCCAGGTGACGCCTGTGCTTCCTGTGGAGGACTTTAGCAACAGGGTGCTATAGCAGTTGAGACAGAATTAATTCAGACTAAAACGTCTTCAGGTGATCACACTGAGCGGCCAGATTTTTTGCTTTGCACACCAAAATGCGAGGATCAAGGAATGGAGGGTGTTCACTTCTCATGGGAATGGGAATGTTCTGGGCCATTCTGGAGGTACTCAGTGTTATAAGGAAAAGATATAGGGACACATAGGAAGAAGGAGAAAATCCCACTTGGATAGCTGAAGATGACTTAAAAATTATGGCAAGAAGAAAGTTAGTTGAAAGCCTAAATGATGCTCAAGATTTCCATGCTGTGCGGAATCTTGGAGGAAGGCAGGAGGAGTGTGGGTGGGTGGGAGGTAATCAGCCAAAGAATATGCATATATTCATAATCCATGGACACAGACAATAGGGTGGTGAAGGCCTCGGGTGGGGCTGGGGGGAATGGAGGGGGTCAATGGGGGGGAAAGTGACATTTATAATACTTTCAACAATAAAGAATTTTAAAAAAGATTTCCATGCCAGAAGTCCCCTTCAATTCTAGCCAAGTCTTGCTCAGCTGTCCCACACTCCTTCACAGAACTTTAACTGATAAGTTCAGCCTATACTACTCTCCTCTCTCTCTGAAAAGTTTTAAGAGCACCTTACATTTATTGCTTGTTCTTGAATCATTTGTGTCTGTTAGTCTTGTTACTTCAACTATAATGTCAGTTTTTAAAAGTAGGGACTGTTTTATACCTTCTTTGTGTTTACTAAACACTCAGGGAAAGCCAGCATAGACACTGGTGTAATTGGGTTGTTGGGTAGTTTTAAGTCAGTGCTTCTTAAACTATCTGTGCTAGAGGACCAGTATTTGAGTGGGAAAATGTCATTGATACTTAAAAAGTACACTGATATTGAGGTAAAGTCAAATTACTATAAAAGTTTCTTTAAAAATTGATTTTAGAGAGAAAGAGGGAGAGGCAGAGAGAAACACCGGTTTTGTTGTTCCACATATTTATGTGTTCATTAGTTGATTCTTGTATGTGCCCTGACCAGGGATCAAACCCACAATCATAGTGTGTCTGGATGATTCTCTAACCAACTGTGAAACCCAGCCAGGGCGACTATAATAAGTTTTTTAACTCTATTGGGTTTTTTTTTGCCTATTTCATGGGTGGGTTATAAACAATTTATGGATGGCCACCAAACTGAGAAGCAGTGGTTTAAGTCACAGGAAGACGTTGACATTTGAAGATAATTCTGGTTTGAGGTAAAAGATAGTCATGTGAAACCTGGCTGGGTTGTTCATTTGGTTAGGAGCATCACCTGGATACGCCAATGTTGTGGGTTTGATCCCTCCCTGGTCAGGGCACATACAAGAATCAACCAATGGCCCAGCCAGTGTGGTTTGGTGGTTGAGCATTGACCTATGAAGCAGAAGGTTATGGTGTGATTCCCAGTCAGGGCACATGTCTGGGTTTCAGGCTTGATCCCCAGTGTGGGGCGTGCAGGAGGGAGCCAATCAATGAGTCTCTCTCCCTCTTCCTTTCTCTCTCAAATCAATAAAAGTATATATATTTTAAAAAGAACCAGTGAATGTATAAATAAGTGGAACAATAAATGGCTCTCTCTTTCTGCCTACTCTCCTCTCTCTAAAATCCTATCTAATAAAAGAGAAACATGGTAATTAGCGTATGACCGCTACCCTTCCCATTGGCTAATCAGGGCAATATGCAAATTAACTGCCAGCCAAGATGGTGGCCAGCAGCCAGGCAGCTTAAAGCGAACATGAGGCTTGCTTGCTTCAGTGACGGAGGACTCCAATGTTCCCCGCCTGCCACTGCCGGCCTCTGAGCTGCAACTCTAAGCAACTATGTTACAAATATAGAAGCTAAACAAAACCCCAGAAACCTGCTTTAGTCACTGGGCTTCAGCCAGCAGGATCACAACATTGTTTCAAATACAGAAGGTAAACAAAGGCCAGAAACCTGCTTTCAGCAGCAGAGGCCTAAGAGCTGGAGCCTCAGAGCTAAAGCTGGCCCAGAATAGAAAAAAAGGAGCAGTTGGGAGCTTCAGTCACCCGCCAGCCTGAAAACAGCCCTCAGCCCCTCACCCAGACTGGCCAGGCACCCCAGTGGGGACCCCCACCCTGAAGGGTGTGTGACCAGCTGCAAACAGCCATCATCCCCTCACCCAGGCTGGCCAGGCACCCCAGTGGGGACCCCCCACCCTGATCCAGGACACCCTTCAGGGCAAACCAGCCGGCCCCCACCCGTGCACCAGACCTCTATCCTATATAGTAAAAGGGTAATATGCCTCCCAGCACCGGGATCAGCATGACAGGGGGCAGCGCCCAAACCCCCTGATCGCCCTGCGGCTCTGTGTGTGACAGGGGGCGGGGCCACAACCTCCCTATCCGCCCTGCTCTGTTCGTGACAGGGGAAGGCGCCCCAACCCCCTGATCAGCCCTGCTCTGTGCCTGATAGGGGGGAGCTCCCCAACACCCTGATTGCCCTGCGGCTCTGTGTGTGACAGGGTGCAGCGCCCCAACCCCCCCCCCCATGGCCCCATGGGCCCTGCTCTGTGTGTGACGGGCTAGAGCCATAACCTCCCCATCGGCCCTGCCCTGAGTGTGACAGGGTGCAGCGCCCCAACCCCCTGATTCGCCCTGCTCTGTGTGTGACAGGGGGCAGTGCCCCAACTCCCCTATTGGCCCTACTCTGTGAGTGACAGGGGAGAGCTCCCCAACCCCCTGATCGGCCCTGCTCTGTGCGTGACAGGGGGCAGCGCCCCAACCCCCTGATCGACCCTGCTCTGTGCATGACAGGGTACGGAGCCCCAACCCCCCTGATGGGCCCTGCTCTGTGAGTGACGGGGCAGCACCCCAACCCCCTGATTGGCCCTGCTCTGTGCATGATGGGGTGGCGCCGCAACCTCCCCATCGACCCTGCCTTGAGTGTGACAGGGGGCGGTGCCCCAACCCCCCAATCAGCCCTACCCTGAGCATGACTGAGGGTGGCATCGCAACCTCCCAATATGCCCTGCTCTGTGCATGACAGGGGGCGGCGCCCCAACTCCCCAATCGGCCCTGCTCTGAGCCCGACCAGGGGCTGCACCTAGGGATTGGGCCTGCCCTCTGCCACCCGGGAGCAGGCCTAAGCCAGCAGGTCGTTATCTCCCAAGGGGTCCCAGACTGCGAGAGGGCACAGGCCGGGCTGAGGGACCCCCCCCCCCCCGAGTGCACAAATTTTTGTGCACCGGGCCTCTAGTCAATAATAAATGAATAGGACAGAGATCTGTTTGGTAAGAATGGGATACTAGATAGCAGCAAAAGGTGGAAGGCTCTCTAGCATAGACTTTATCCTGGAAACACAGAAAGAGAAGACTTACCAAACAGACATTTCCACTGACCCGTGAAAGAGCCCGGCAGGCCACAACCCGATCCTTCCATTGATGGCTATTCAGCTCCACAGCAAGCATGGTGTGTATCAGGGTCTGAGGAAATGAAAGACTTGGATGGGTGTTCATGATCATCTTTACAGGTACTAGAACCTTGAAGAACTTCCATCCTAACATGGCATCCAGTATAATGTCACAGACATGTGAGATACTCATCCCTAGCAAGGAATAGGTTATAAAATGTGGAGTGCTCGTCCAACCTTTTTCATCTCATGGCACACGTAAACTAATTACTAAAATTCTGCAGCACACCAAAAATATATTTTTTGCCAATTTGACAAAAAAAAGTAGGTATAATTTTGATTCATTCACACTGGACTATTGTGTTGGCTATTGTCCTTTTTTTTATTTGACAAGCTAAACTGTCCAGGCCGGGTGGCTCAGGCAATTGGAGCGTCATCGTAAACACCAAAAGGTTGCAGGTTCAAGTTTGATTCCTGGTTGGAGCATATACAGGAGCAGCTGATCAATGTTTCCTCTCTCACATTGATGTTTCCTCCTCTCTCTCTTCCCCTCCCTCCTTCTCTAAAATAAATTAAAAAAACATATTCTTGAGTGAGGATTTAAAAATAACAAAATAGCTCTGGCCAGTGTGGCTCAATTGGTTTAGCTTTGTCCCATGCACCAAAAGGTTGCTGGTTTGATTCCCAGTTAGGGCATATGCTTGGGTTTGGGGCTCCATCTGCAGTAGGGGGAGTGCAGGAGGCAGCTGATTGATGTTTCCTCTCACATCAATGTTTCTCTCCCTCTTCCTCTCTCTAAAAATCAATAAACAATCTTAAAATAATAAAAATTCTTGGCACATCAGTTGAAAATCACTGATCTAAGCCAACTGACATCTGGGATTATGAATCAGGAAACAAAATACAGATTTTGTCATCTGAGCAGAAAACTGGGGCTTTCTTAATTTTTTTAAATTTTGGAGAGACGGGAACATGTTCCACCTATTCACACACTCTCTGGTTGATTCCTGTATGTGTCCTGACCAGGGATCAAACCCACAACTTTGGCGAATGGAACGATGCTCCAACCAACTGTGCTACCAGGCCTGGGCATTCCTCTTCTTGACTTTAACTACCTTTACTCCTAAAATGATTTTTATGTGCCTCAATCTTTGTGTTTCATGTTTCTGCTGAAAGTAAACAGAATTCTAGGTCTGTGTGGTTTCAAGGGTAAATTTGTGGCAAAATTCTACATGTTATAACTCTTCCGGCATACACAGAAACCATCTGCAGTCTACTTTTCTCGCCTAGACTAAGCTAACTGTTGTCACTTTTCCTTGTATACACCTCTCCACCCCAGTTCAACCACTCCAAGTCTGGCTTTACCTATGCTTGAGATCATCTTACCCCACCACACCTGCATTTTCGATTCTTTACATGCACTGAGACCCAATTGTTCCCCAAACTTGATTTCTTTTTCTGACCCTATAATGCATACATACCATCTTCCCACTGAGATGGCTCAGGAGCAGGCAAGCCTGGTGCTCAGTGTCCTCATTCTTCTTGTGAAACAGCTGATGGAGGATCCTCTTAATCACAGGGTAAATGTCCACACCATCCAGAGCCAAGCACTGAGCTGCAGCCCAGCTGTCCACGCTATTACCTGCCACGGTGGGGTGAATAGAGTCTAGGTAGGTGACCTGTTTACCCCGCAGAGAGAACAGCCTTTGGGTTGGTATCCAAGGCTGTTACCTGCCTCATCTCTCACTTCCCTGTGCCCTTCTCAGTCTAGAAATCCAATTCCATATTTAACCATGTTTAAATGGATTATATCAAGGTTTTAAATATAGGCTGAAAAATCTTAATCTCCAAAGTTAAATCTTCCCCAGCTGCAATGAATTGCATCAAGTTCCTAAGGTATTGCCTCCTCTTCCACTCCCACTTTGCTACAGATGAAGGTTTCTGTTATGTAGTAGAGAGAGGGGAGCAGGATCTCTTCCCTTGGGTTTGCACCACACTGGGTACTTCTTAGGACTCATCCCTATGTCCCATCTCTTGAGGTTCTTACTCCACACACTGGGATTAGTGGGAAAAGAGCACATAAGAGGATACAGGGTTCTCCAATCTCTGATATCCTCACAGATTTCACGTATTCTTCTAATCTAGCCTGTACTTGGCCTTCACTAATTTGACCACAGTTCTAGCTGAACTCTTCTTACTGGTCCCAGCTGTATCTACTTCGGGTGAGTGAGTGTTCATGTCTTCTCTTTCCCTGTAGGCATTGTCTGTCCTTATACAGTGGGGCCTTGACTTACGAGTGTCCCGACTAACGAGTTTTTTGAGATGCCAGCTGTGTCTCGGCAGATTTTTTGCATTGAGTTGATAGAGTAATTTGAGTTAACGAGCTCCTTAACGAGCTCGGGCTCGGAATGAATTAAACTCATAAGTCAAGGCCGCACTGTATTTTGAAGTTAGTCAAGGTTTTTTTTTAATGTAAGGGTGGGAGTAACACTCCTTCCAGCTCCCTACATCCAGGGCAGAAAGTGAAAGACCTGAATACTTTTTTCCGCCCTCTTTTGGAATAAAAATATTTCTCAATGACTTCTATGTTTCCAAGATTTAAATATCCCAATGTGTAAATTAACATATACTCAATTCTTATCCAATCCCCACCCTAATTGCATTTTTATTTTTCTTGTTAAAAAGATTGGTTCAGCCCTAACCGATTTGGTTCAGTGGCTAGAGCAGTGGTTCTCAACCTTGGCTGCACATTAGAATCACCTGGGAATCTTTTTAGAATCCTGATTTCTGGGCCCCATCCTCTGGAAATTCTGTTTCTTTGTTACTAGTGTTGTGACCTCACCCCATAACAAAGAAACAGAATTTCCGGAGGATGGGGCCCAGAAATCAGGATTTTAAAAAGATTCCCAGGTGATTCTAATGTGCAGCCAAGGTTGAGAATCACTGCACTAGAGCATCGGCCTGCGGACTGAAGGGTCCTAGGTTCGATTCCAGTCAAGGGCATGTACCTTGGTTGTAGGCACATCCCCAGTAGGAGGTGTGCAGGAGGCAGCTGATCGCTGTTTCTCTCTCATTGATGTTTCTAACTCTCTATCCCTCTCCCTTCCTCTCTGTAAAAAAATCAATAAAATGTATTTTTAAAAATAAATAAATAAATTTTTAAAAAAGATTGGTTCATTGGCTATGCTTACATTTTCTATGGGAAAAGGGAAGATTTCTGCTTTGGATCGCACTCTTTAGAGAGAATTAAATGTGATCATAGACTTTGTCTTCTGTGGCTTGTTGATTATAAAGACTAAAATATACATATGTGTGTGTGTGTGTGGTGGGGGAGTTAAATCTTAACAGATTCTTGTTAGGTAACAGCAATGAGGCACTTCTGGCCTGGCTGAGAGATACAGTTTTTCCTCCCCTTTGAGATTGGGAAGTCTGGAGTGGAGGCTTTCTTAAAACAAATGAAACAAGTTGTTGAGCTTCTATATGCAGGAGGACAAACCAGTCTGTCAGTTGTCTTTTCCCAATTTCCCAAAGAACAAGGACATCTCTGAGCAGTTAGGCACGTTGGGCATATCACTTGACCTTTTTGCTGTATTACTACTCCAACAATGCATGTGGACAATGCCTATAAGTTAATGTGCACAAATGGAAGCATGATGTGTTCAAGTGGTGATTTTTAATTTTCAGGAAGTATTCTTAAATATTGTTACATCATATTTTCAATTTAAACAAAATCCAGTTGTGTGAAAGGGCATGGTTTCTGGTCAAACACATCTATGAAACACCACTAGGTGGCAGTGTACCTATTTTGTCAAAGTACCTAGGAAGAACTACCTTTTCTATGTTCTAAGATGAACTGAAATCCAATACAATAGACATCACAGACATGACAATGGAGAGTAACAGATGGAGAAGCTAATGCTCTGACCGGTTTGCTCAGTGGATAGAGCGTCGGCCTCCAGACTGAAAGGTCCCAGGTTTGATTCTGGTCAAGGGCATGTACCTTGGTTACGGGCACATCTCCAGTAGGAGGTGTGCAGAAGGCAGCTGATCGATGTTTCTCTCTCATCGATGTTTCTAACTCTCTATCCCTCTCCCTTCCACTCTGTAAAAAATCAATAAAATATCTAATCTAATAAAAGAGAAACATGGTAATTGGAGTACGACCGCTACCCTTCCCATTGGCTAATCAGGGAGATATGCAAATTAACTGGCAGCCAGGCAGCTTGAAACTAACTTGAGGCTTGCTTGCTTCAGTGACGGAGGAAACCAATGTTCCCCGCCTGCCTTGCAGGCCTCTGAGCCTGCAGTTTGAAACATTTTAACAAATATAGAAGCTAAAAAAAAAACCCCAGAAACCAGCTTTCAGCGAGCTGGGATCTCAGAGCTGGAGTCAGAGCTGGAGTTATACATTGTTTCGATTACCTACTTTCAGCAGCGGAGGCCTAAGAGCTGGAGCCTCAGAGCTAAAGCTGGCCCAGAATTAAAAAAGAAAAAAAGAAAAAAAGGAGCGGTTGGGAGCTTCCGTCACCCGCCAGCCTGAAAACAGCCCTCAGCCCCTCACCCAGACTGGCCAGGCACCCCAGTGGGGACCCCCACCCTGAAGGGTGTGTGACCAGCTGCAAACAGCCCTCAGCCCCTCACCCAGTCTGGCCAGGCACCCCAGTGGGGACCCCAACCCTGAAGGGTGTGTGACCAGCTGCAAACAGCCATCATCCCCTCATCCAGGCTGGCCAAGCACCCCAGTGGGGACCCCCACCCTGAAGGGTGTGTGACCAGCTGCAAACAGCCATCATCCCCTCACTCAGGCTGGCCAGGCACCCCAGTGGGGACCTCCACCCTGATCCAGGACACCCTTCAGGGCAAACCAGCCAGCTCCCACCCATGCACCAGACCTCTATCCTATATAGTAAAAGGGTAATATGCCTCCCAGCACCGGGATCAGCGGAGCCGAGAGGCCTCCCAGCACCAGGATCAGTGTGACAGGGGGCAGCGCCCAAACCCCCTGATCGCCCTGAGGCTCTGTGTGTGACAGGGGGCGGGGCCACAACCTCCCTATCCGCCCTGCTCTGTTCGTGACAGGGGAAGGCACCCCAACCTCCTGATCAGCCCTGCTCTGTGCCTGATAGGGGGGAGCTCCGCAACCTCTGATCGCGCTGCCGCTCTGTGTGTGACAGGGTGCGGCGCCCCAACCCCCTGATCGGCCCTGCTCTGTGTGTGACAGGGTGCGGCGCCCCAACTCCCCCCCCCCCCCCACGGGCCCTGCTCTGTGTGTGACAGGGTAGAGCCATAACCTCCCCATCGGCCCTGCCCTGAGTGTGAGAGTGGTGGTGTCCCAACCCCCTGATCGGCCCTGCTCTGTGGGTGATAGAGGGCGGCGCCCCAACCCCCTGATCCACCCTGCTCTGTGTGTGACAGGGGGCGGTGCCCCAACTCCCCTATCGGCCCTACTCTGTGAGTGACAGGGGCGAGCTCCTCAACCCCCTGATGGGCCCTACTCTGTGCGTGACAGGGGGTGGCGCCGCAACCTCCCCATTGACCCTGCCTTGAGTGTGACAGGGGGCGGTGCCCCAACCCCCCAATCGGCCCTACCCTGAGCATGACTGGGGGTGGCATCGCAACCTCCCGATCCGCCCTGCTCTGTGCATGACAGGGGGTGGCGCCCCAACTCCCCAATCGGCCCTGCTCTGAGCCCGACCAGGGGCTGCACCTAGGGATTGGGCCTGCCCTCTGCCACCCGGGAGCAGGCCTAAGCCAGCAGGTCGTTAAATCCCAAGGGGTCCCAGACTGCGAGAGGGCACAGGCCAGGCTGAGGGACCCCCCCTTCCCCCAGAGTGCACAAATTTTTGTGCACCAGGCCTCTAGTATATTTATATATAAAAAAAAGGATATCTCCTCTTTACCCCATATTCCCAGGTCAGAAGAAACGGAGAGTTCCTCACCTTTCAAAAGGGCAGTATGCATGATGTCCTGGGCAAGGGGATTGTGTGACTGTATAGCATATTGGCATATTGCTGCTGCCATCTGCACATTGAAATTCTGGTCTCCAAGAGCAGCCTCCAGAGGCGGGAGTAGAACCTCTGGCAAGTCCTGGATTGATGGGGCTTCCACAGTCTTCTCGTCTGTGATCAAAAGAGAGCTGAAGAAGGGAGTGCTAGCCCCTTTGCTTTTCTCGGAAACACAGCTTCCTTCCCATAGCCGAATACCAGCCGCAGGTGCTTACCTCTATGGGCCCCTCCAATGGGCAGGATTTTATGACTCACTTCTGTGCTGGGTATGCCAGTTCCATCCTTTATCCTCTGGCCTCAAAGAAGGTATATTCAAGCCAAAGAAGAATGTTTCCAGCTAGGCTATGGTGACTTTCACCATTAGTTTTAGTGATAAAAATCAACCTATTTACCCTATATGTTTTTGTATTTTTACATTACATTTTGTACTTTTATATTATTTTTAAACTATATTTCTTTATTGATTTCAGAGAGGAAGGAAGAGGAAGAGAGAGAGAGAAACATCAATGATGAGAGAGAATCATTGATCGCTGCCTCCTGCACACCCTCCACTGGGGATCGAGCCCACAACCCAGGCATATGCCTTTGACTGGAATTGAACCTGGGACCCTCCAGTCCGCAGGCCGACACTCTATCCACTGAGCCAAACTGGCTAGGGCTATTATTTTTAATAATAGCAATTATATTTAGGTAGTGCTTTGCCATCTATATAGTGTTTTCATACTCATTCATTCTTCCAAACTTTATTGAAGTAGACAAGGCAGATATTACTGCAGAGCTCACCTGAAATATGTGTGTGTTTAACAAACAGGCCCACAACACTGTTATAAGCCCCTCAGTACCAGTCTTCCGAAGGACATAGGATGGGAGCACAGTTTGCCAACAGGGCAGCCTCAGGCACTCCTTTTGGCCAGAGTTCCTGAGGTGGTTTGTCTAGCATTCCACAGATCCCTCTGGGGACACCTCAGGACTACGGAAAACACTGTGAGGACAAGTCTTATGTTTCACTGGAGTTAGGATCTCTTATAACAACCCCACAGGTATCATCTTAGGGTCCCTAAAGGGAATGCTGTTATATAAGTCACAGCATTCATGGAAACCCAAAGGATGGTGCCCCTTTACATATTTACATTTCATTTATAGTTCTTCCCACTCCAAATGTAACTAATCAGTCAGGGTGCATTTTTATCAGAAACAGTGTTGCCTATAAAGATAGTTCCTGTCCTTATCAGGTTAGCAGAGTAACAGGTATACATTTAATTAAAGCTCAGATTCTCAAGTAGAAGGGGAAGGATTTTATTAACCTTTTGTCCACAACTATCCTCACTTGATAGATAAGGAATTTGAAACTCAGAAGTTAACTGACTTCCAAGAAGCTGGACCTGTGACTAAGGTTTTAGGACTTCTAATCTATCCTTCATACTACTGCTGCAATCCACTATGCCATGTGTCAAGAATGACCTAGATGGAAATATATATTTCAGGGGAATGGAAGCAATTGATCATCTCAAGAAATAATGAGTAGATCATTTTCTTTGGGAAGGTGTGGGGAGGAAACAACAAAATCTAGACACCGAGGACACGTGAAAGGGATCACGTGACAGGCATAGTTCTGGCGGAAGATAACGATGTTTGTATGTATGTGGAAGATTTGGGATAAGATTATGATATATGTTGCTGTTTATTGAAGGTTTTTTCTATGTGCCAGGCACTGAAAATATATCATCCCATTTAATACCCAAGGAAATAAGCAGTTATAATAAAAAATGTATATGTGTGGACACATGTCTAGCAGGGACACCAAACCAAGTCTGGGTGGTGAGGCAGGGAAGGCTCCTCAGAGGAGGTGACACCTTAGCTGAAAACTGAAGGGAAAGTATAGAAATTAATCATATGAAGAGAGGAAGAGTTTTCCAGCACAGGAAGCAACAGATTTGAAAACTTGAAGGAAAAATGCCCATATCTGGAACTCAATAGACAGGATATAAGTGAAATGAAACTTTAAAAACCTGGCAGTTTTGTAGAGCCAAATAGTCCCTGCCCTGAGAGAGTTCCTTGCCTGCTAGCGATGGCAGAGAAGTAAACAATTATGATAGAGTGATAAATATTAGGACTGGAATAATATTAGGATGTTACCTGCAGCAGAGAAGAAAAAGTGTCAGCCCAGGCTTCACATAAAAGGTGATATCTGAGAGGGTGCTTGAAGAATCAGGGTCCATTGGTTTTATGTCCTTTCAATGGCATTTATAGTTTCCACTAAAGGCTTGGTGCACAAAATTTGTGCACTGGGTGTGTGTCCCCCTCAGCCCAACCTGCACCCTCTCCAATCTGGGACATCCCTCTCACAGTCCAGGACTGCTAGCTCCCAACCGCTCACCTGCCTGCCTGCCTGATTGCCCCTAACCGCTTCTGCCTGCCAGCCTAATCACCCCCTAATCACTCCCCTGCCAGCCTGATCGATGCCTAACTGCTCCCCTGCTGGCCCGATTGCCCCCAACTGCCCTTTCCCTGCCAGCCTGGTCACCCCTAACTGCCCTCCCCTGCCAGCCTGGTCACCCCCAACTGCCCTCCCCTGCCGGCCATCTTGTGATGGCCACCTTGTGGCAGCTATTTTGACAACATGGGGTGGCCATCTTGTGCAAGGGTGTGACAGTCAATTTGCATATTACCTCTTTATTATATAGGATCATTGGGTCCTGTGTCTTGTTAAACCTGTTTTTGCTAACTGAAAGAAAACTGAAGAGGATTTTCGCATTTAAAAAATGTCATTACCATACTAATGACTTCCATGAAAACATAGTGGCACATTTGAACTTTCAGAAAGTGGGAGATAATGCTTCGCTTCACGCCACTTTGGCTTACAAAGGGTTTCATAGGAGCGTTCTACTGTTGGATAGCTGCCAGGAGCCAGTCCATCCTTGCTGTTTCAAAGGACCTGGCATATATGGCATACTGTTCTTAATATGTTTGCTCACCTTCTTGGCACTATGTGTTTTAACCAAGGTCTCTGAGAAAGGTTGTTTCACCAGGTAGGGATTTTCCCCTGAAGTTAGGGAGGGAATAAAACCTCCTAACTAAGTGCCAGGCGGGTAATTAATCACTTTAACTATGAACAATCATGCTTAAGCTACATAATCTTTACTCCCTGGAATGGAGATAAGAAACGCCCTAACCTTTGTAATAGAGATTGATAGGATTTAATCAACTGGTATAAATACAGATGTAACAAGCCAGCAAGACACAGAACTTAGAACACAGAACTTAGAATACGGAACCAAGAGAGACAGAACCTAGGCACAGAACCTACACAGAACGTTCTCTAGAGACAGAAGAACTTCGCTGGAGAGAACATGGCAAAAGATCCTGGACAGAAACTGGCCTCAGAACCTAGAGACAGAACCTAGGGAGAGAACATGGCAAAAGATCCTGGACTGAACCTGACTACAGAAATTGGCAAGAGAACCTGACTAGAACCTGGTGACTGAACCTGGCTGGAGAACCTGGACAGAACCTGGCTGGAGAACCTAGCAAGAGAACATGGACACAGAACCTGGCTGGAGATCCTAACCAGAACTTCGCTGGAGATCCAGACCAGAACTTGGATGGAAATCCTGGCTAGAGATCCTGGCGAGGCTGCTGATCAACTGAACGCTGCCTCCATGTCATTTCTTCTTCGCCGACTCCGTCCACACCTTTGGGGCCCCCTGGACCCACTGGGGTTGGACCCCGGCAGATAGCAGGGGAAACCTGTAGATAGTATGCTCAAGCAGTCCAGTTCTGGCTCTCACCTGAGTCCCCCTGCCTGATGGCAATCCGGGGCCGTTCTAAAGCGGCGGTGGCACACGTGGTGATGGCTTGGATCCGAATATCATCATGCATGTCCACCAAGCCCCGCAGCAGACCCTCTATTGTCTTATGGCGCCACTCGATGACTGTGACACAGGGAGCAAAGTGAGACGAGAACCACTTGGTCAGGGTTAGATACATACTGCGGGCCCCCCCGCCCCCACCCCGCCAGGACAATTCAAGCAAAACATTAGCTCAGAAAAATAAAGGGCTTCAGAGATGGGATCCTTAGGGAGGTTATTTCTCTGATGATCCATATACTCTCTAGTTCAGTCCCAAACAACTTCCCCCCGCCCCAAATCTCATCCTATATTCTTTCTCTCTCTCTTAAATAGCTTCACTGGTACCATCTGGGAAACAAAAGGGGCAATAAAACATAGTGGTTAAGGGCACTTTGTTATCAGACATACCTGGTTTGGAATCACAATTATTAGCCGTGTGACCTTGAGTAAGTTACTTAACCTGTGTGAGCCTGAGATTTTTCATTTGTAAAATGGGAATAATACTAGAATCTACCAGGTTGAGTGATTGAATAGTACATGAGTTAACTAGACAAAGGTTAGCAAGATACCCTCAGGTTTCCTTGCCTTTGAGGGCTTCTCCATCTGGCTTTCAAGGTCATTCTCATTGTATTGCTAACTGCTCTCTTTGTAGGTATCAAGCTTTCATTTCAGTGCTCCCACCATCTGTAGTTGCTCCCTAATAGTGGCTTTTACTTGGATCTCCTTTTCAACTCTTTTATGTTTATCTGATCCCGTTTATGAAATGGATCACCTCTCTTCTTCCTGCACTAGCTAAATTAGTTTCTTAGGTTCTGAAAGACAGCAGCCCTGGAGTCCTTAAATCTTATAGCTTTCAACAGTCCTTGCCAGGTGCTTACTCTGCCCCAGGCACTCAGACTTCTACTCCCATATCTCTGAGGGCAATGTAGATATAGGATAATCCCAACTCCAGGAATGAATTTTGGAGAGGGGTGGTTTATACCACAGACAACTGCCATGTGAATAAAATAGTTATAAGTGTTTCTTGGGATTTTTTTGGCCACCATTACATTTCCATTGCTTGGACAGCATGTTTCAACCTTCCCTTCATGCATTATTTAGTGAACATAAGGTTTCAGAGATCAGTAAGTTAGGGTCCCTGCCTGTGAAGAGTTCTCAACATAGTGTGTTTCCACAGACTACTGAAGTAAAACCCACCCATGCAAAAAGTATTCATACGTCAACTAGCATTATGTGAAAAGAAGGCTCTTGTCTAGTCTAAACTTGATGAGGCAACCAGATTTTTATGTTTTATGAGAGGGATGGATTTTCAAAGACTGAGAAACACTAGTCCAAGCTGAGACTCTCATCCTCCACAAATACATACCGATACCTCTTGATGTCCCGCCCCCCACCCCCTTCACTCACTCAGAGCCCAGGCGGTCCTCCATTCCTGCAACATCCTCCGCAGGACCAGCAGTTTCCAGGGCACATCCTCCTTCAGTGAATCCGCCTGCATCTTCAGTTTCTTGGCCTTAGTGGACATGTCCTCACGCCCCTGCACCAGCAGATCCTTGACTGGGGTGGGCAAAGCAGTCCAGCGCGGGGCTCCTTTCACGGGCCTGCAAGCTGTGCAGTGTGCCAGTATGAGGTCCTGCCCTAGGCCCTGTGTTCCAACCAGCATCTCATTCCTATTTCTGACTAAGACCAAGGCAAAACAGTGTTCTCAAGAGCAAACTTTCCTGTGGTTATAAAGGGAACTGAGCACAAGTGGCACAGGGAGCTGACTACAGACCTGAGAAGCCACGATGGTGGGAGAGAAAGGTTGGGGGGGGGGGGGGTGAAGCTGAGCTATTTATAAGCCTTTCTATAAGAGTAATAAATCTTTAGGCACATAAATATGTTTAAACTAGAAGCCCAGCACACAAAATTGTGCAGCCTTTAGGCACATAAATATGTTTATACTAGAAGCCCAGCACACAAAATTGTGCAGCCCCGCCCACCTGCACGGGCAGCCATGCCACACTTGCAGCCCTGCCCATCCACACACGTCTTGCCGCGCTCACAGCCCTGCCCACCTGCGCTGGTCTTTGGTTGTTACAGCGTTAGGGCCACTGGGTTTTTATAATTATAGATGTAAAAGGGCTTGCTCCTAAAATTTGATATTTGATATATTGCAATTTAGAGTATAATGGGCCATTAATTCCTAGTTTAATTGTTCTTTTTATGCTTTTAATTTGGGAGGAAGAATGGTCCTGCCAGCTGCTAAATTTTAAAGATTTTAGCATCTCTGAATTTTTCCTAATTATGACAAATAACAGTTGGAACTTTGAGAACAGAAGAAAATCCTATATAATAAAAGGCTAATATGCAAATTGACCAAACAGCAGAATGACTGGTCGCTATGACGTGCACTGACCACCAGGAGGCAGATGCTCAATGCAGGAGCTGCCCCCTGGTAGTTAGTGTGCTCCCACAGCGGGAGCACTGCTCAGCCAGAAGCCAGGTTCACAGCTGCCGAGGGCAGTGGTGGTGGTGGGAGCCTCTCCCACCTCTGTGGCAGCACTAAGGATGTCCGACTGATGGCTTAGGCGCTCCCCCAAGGCCTCCTGGACTGCAAGAGGGCATAGGCCGGGCTGAGGGGCCCTCCCCCCCCGACTCTCACACACACACACACACACACACACACCAAGTGTATGAATTTCGTGCACTGGGCCTCTAGTATTATATAAATACAAGAGGCCCATTGCAGGAAGATTCCTGCAAGAATAGGGCTTCTTTCGGCTGGAGCAAAGCAAAGAAGGGATTGAAGCCCGCCCTTCTCCACTGCCTCACTCCCTCCTGTCTCTGCTGCCTCAGCTCTGCTCCTGTGTTCGCTGCCTCGGGACGCTCCATCAGTGGCAGAGCAGCAAGGCTGGATCGGCCACCGGAGTGGGTGGATCATGCCTCACTGCTTGCCCCCGTGGCCGCTGGCCAGGTGACAGGCCCGGACACTCCAGCAGCGATGGAACGGCGAGGCTGGAACCGCCGCCAGAGTGGGCGGATCCAGCCTCTCCACTCGCCCCGCCCCCCACCTCTCCTGCCACCTGCCTGGCCAACAGGCCTGGACACTTCAGCAGCTTGGCTGAGGGGACTGGGCGCCACTATCTTGTGGCTATGGGCGCTGCCATCTTTGTGACGGTGTGACAGTTAATTTGCATATTACTCTTTTATTAGATAGGCTAGTTGTTATATAAAAAGTTATAGCTGTTATATTATTCTAGACTTAATGTGATCCCTGATATGAGATTCAGAAAGCGTCTTTCTCAGAGAAGTAGTTATGTAGCGAAGAAGGCAAAACAGATAAAAATATTTCTGGCCTGGCCAATGTAGCTCAGTGATTGAGCATCAACCTATGAACCAAGAGATCATGGTTTGATTCCAGGTCAGGGCACATATCTGGATTGCGGGCTCAACCCCCAGTCGGGGTGTGCAGGAGGCAGCCAATTAATGATTCTCTCTCATTATTGATATTCTCCCTCTCCCTTTCTCTCTGAAATCAATAAAAATATATTTTAAAAAGAAAACAAAACATTTCCAGACTACTAATTTCATTATTTGCCACATTGCTTCTCAGTTTCATGTTCTAATCTGTCACTATCAGCAATTTCTGTTTTTCCAGATCTCATTCCAACTTAAACATGTTTAGATTTGCTCTGAATCAGTTCTTTTCTTTGAGCAAGGAGGGCTTCTACCACTTCTTCTAATGTAAAAAGAATCCTGTGAGACTCAAGGGCAATCTAGCTCAGATGCTCCTGTAGAGCACACCCTAAAAATGGTGCTCACCCAGCTTGATCACACTGGGGGAACTCAGTCACCCTGAGTTCAGGGATTCCTTCCTTTGCAGTGTAGGATGTGCACAGCCAGAAGCCATAGAACCAGCTCCAGACAGGTCAGCTCCTAGTGAATAGATCCTTGGCCATATGACATTCCCCAACTTCTCTCTGCCTTCTTAAAATCCCTTTCCTGGAAGTGAGAAGTAGCTGTTCCTCCTGTATCCCCCTGCCCAGGGAGTTAAAATTGATGTGGTCAGAAAGTCTTAAATCGCTGCCAGTTAAAGTCTTAAGAGAATAAACATGTACAACTACCAACATTTATTTTATTTCTATCCCATGAGTTCCAGGCAGGTAGAAATACATCCACTTGCCACCTCCCACCTCAGAAGTCACCTAAAGGGAGCATAAAAAGAAACAACCCTTTGACTGTCTATGGGAGAAAAGGCACAGTGCACTTTGTTGGCAGAAACAGATGGTACCTTTGTGATGTGTATTGTAAAACCTGTGCTTGGTATATAGGAACCATGATGATCTAGGCACACTAAGAGAGTTTTCTGTCAGGCTGTACACTTCGTTTCTTTCTTTTTAAAAGAATACTAGAGGCCCGAAGCACAAAATTCGTGCTAGGGGCTTGGCCCTCGCAGCCACGGTGGCTGCCTCGGCCCTCACAGCCCAGGCTTCATCCAGAAGGACGTCCAGAAGGTCATTTGGCTGTCTGGTCTAATTAGCATATTATGCTTTTATTATTATAGATATTTTTATTGATTTCAAAGAGGAAGGGAGAGGGAGGGAGAGATAAAAATAGCAATGATGAGAATCACTAATCAGCTGCCTCCTGCACACCCCCTACTGGGGATCCAGCCCGCAACCCAGGCATGTGGCCTTGACCAGAATTGAACCTGGTACCCTTCAGTCCTGAGGCCAACACTCTATCCACTGAGCAAACTAGGGCTGTACACTTTATTTCTTAAGAATTTTAATCATTTTGCCGAAACCGGTTTGGCTCAGTGGATAGAGCGTCAGCCTGTGGACTGAAAGGTCCAGGGTTCGATTCCGGTCAAGGGCATGTACCTGGGTTGCGGGCACATCCCCAGTGGGAGATGTGCAGAAGGCAGCTGATCAGTGTTTCTCTCTCATCGATGTTTCTGACTCTGTTTCTCTCCCTTCCTCTCTGTAAGAAATCAATAAAATATATTTAAAAAAAAAAGAATTTTAATCATTTTAAGGGAATCACCATCTAAGTTTTTCAATTCAATCAAAAGGGGGCGGGGGAGGGGGGAACCTACGTACATCTAACCTCAGGAAGTTTTCTATTATTTCCAGGTTCTTTCATATCCAGGATTTCCTGAGATGAGATGATGAATAAAATAGTTTTAAGAAGATGTATGTATATATTACTATTCTGGCTTTACTTCCCCCAGATCAATTTCAAATACTGTTTTAAAAAGAGATTTGATGTCAAAAACCTACAGCATTAGCTCATTAAATGTTCTGTGCTCTGGGGGGAAAAGGTGGGTATCCAGCTCTATTGGGGATAAGGTGCCTATGAAGCAAGTGAGATAGGTCGTGAAGTTTCTATGAAAGCAGCAGGATCCTCAGAGGATTAAAAAATAATAATAAGGCCCTAACCGGTTTGGCTTAGTGGATAGAGCGTCGGCCTGCGGACGCAAGGGTCCCAGGTTCGATTCCGGTCAAGGGCATGTACCTTGGTTGCGGGCACATCCCCAGTAGGGGGTGTGCAGGAGGCAGCTGATCGATGTTTCTCTCTCATGGATGTTTCTAACTCTCTATCCCTCTCCCTTCCTCTCTGTAAAAAATCAATAAAAAATATATTTTTTAAAAAAATAGCTTCATTAAGGTAGAATTCACATCCTGTAAATTCCACCCTCTTAAAGTATATATAACTCAGTGGTATTTTAATATATATGCAGAGTTGTGCAACTATCACCCAGCAACCACTGATCAACGTTGTCTCTGTGCCTTGAGTTTGCACAGCACTTAATGGTTTATAAAACATATTCACAAAGTCACCTAAGTACCAATAAGTATCACAAAAGTGCCCTGCTATAGGAATGATTAGTGTCTCAATTTTTTAAAAAAATATTTTTTAATTGATTTCAGAGAGGAAAAGAGAGGGGAGAGAGAGATAGAAACATCAATGATGAAAGAGAATCATTGATTGGCTGCCTTCTGCAGGTCCCCTTCTGGGAATTGAGCCCATAACCCCGGCATGTGCCGTTGACCGGAATCAAACCTGGGATCCTTCAGTCCGGAGGCTGACACTCTGTCCACTGAGCCAAACTGGCTAGGGCTAGTGTCTCAGTTTTAATGAAGCAACTAAAGCTCCAGAAGGTGACTTGCCAAGACCTAACCCAAGGCTCTGCTGGGGTGCTTTCTCCGCTGCTTTATAATAGCGGTCCTCAACAAAGGAGGAGTGGGTGTGGGTATTGGGGAAGCTATGCATAGCCACCATGAGTAGCATCTCTACTCTAATGACTGATACCTAGCCAGGCAGCACTAGAGACAGAGGTTTAGAGGTGGGTGGGAAAAGAATGGGTCACTACTACTACTAGTTTCTGCACATGAGGGGACCACCTCAACAGTGACACTGCAAAGAAAAGAGTCATGGGAAATGGATACATAGTCTCTTGGAGAACGGGCACTTTTTGTTTCATTAGCTCATTTCTTGGCTATTTTCCTTCCCTCTCTCTACCTTCTCTGTCTTACATAATCAAAATGATGGACTGGTAGAGGATGCTGCTATGGCCTGAGAAGCAGATATTGGCCTGAGTATGGAGTGGGAGGCCAGCCCAATGCAAAAGAGCAGAGTACTTGATCAGGGTCTGATAAGCATCCCCTGGAAGCATTAAGATGGAATTATTGGCACTTATTACACCTAAGTTTTATTTTATTTCAACTGAATGAATGCTTCACAAAACCTCTTCCTAGTTATAGTTACTATTTTATAATTTTATGAGATGATTTTTTAAAAAGATTTTTTATTGAGGGGAAGAGAAAAACATCAATGTGAGAGCGAAACATCGATCGGCTGGGCATGTGCCCTGGCCGGGAATCTAACCGCCAACCCTTCCATGCATGGGATGATGCCCAACCAATGGCCAGGGCAGGGAGATGACTTCTAGTTGGTAGGAAGAGACTCTCCCGGATGCTGGTGGTGTCCTGCCCTCTGAAACAGGGACCTTAAAGAAATGGTGCCCGAGCCAGTGTGGCTCAGTTGTTTGGAGCATTGTCCCCTACACCAGCAGGTGTCGGTCGGGTTCAATCCCTGGTTGGGACACAAACAGGCGGTTGGGGGGTGAGGGGAGAAGAGGGAGCAACCCATTAATGTTTCTCTCTCTCTCTCTCTCTCTCTCTCAGATCAATAAAAACACATTCTTGGTGAGAATTTTTAAAAGAAAAGAAACGGCCACACTTCCATCTTTATGCCCGTTATCAGCTTCCTGCTTACGTGCTTCAGGAACTGGCTGGGAGGTCCACCTTTCTGGGGTTTCCGGGAAGACCTTAGCTAGCTGCTTGTGGTACTGGTTGAGGTTCTCCAGGAAAATTTGGTCTCTCTTTGCACCAATCCGGTGGATGATCTGGACTTTATCTATGAACAGATAAAGAAATAATGAGTCAAATAAATAAAATATACAGAGGGGACAAAAAATAAAAAAGAAAGAATGAGTCCCAGCACCTTCCTTCTCTCTCCTCCTGGGTTTTTAGTCACCAGGGCCAGATCCAATTTCACTTTACCCTCCTCTGAAGCCCCTAGGACGCATGGCTGCGGGCTCTGTGAGGCCTGGATGTCAAGGCAGAGCCTTTCTCACTATGAAAAGCTATTTACTAATGAAGGGCCACCCAATTCATCTCTTATTCTCCGTCAATACTTTTTCTTAAGCACTTTAAGAATACGTTCCGTTTATAGCACTCTAGGAACAAGATGGGAGTAGAAAAGGACAAACAGCGTGGAACATGCAGACCTAGATCGTGCATCCTGGAAGCCCAGGCATCTAAAGGGAAAGCCCAGGCGAGCTGGAAGGGAAGGTGGTGGGCATTTATTGGGCGTTGGGCAAGACGCATTGTAAATGCTTTCTTGTCTACTGTTTAAGTGCATTTTTCTTAATACTGTTTTACAAATAAGGTACATAAGGCTCAGAGAGATTATATCATTTGCTGAAGGTTAGTAGGAAAGGATTAAGCCAGGATTTAACCTCGGATCTGCCTGACCCCAAAGCCTGTGATATATTTTTTCCAATATAGCCCCTCAGTGGGGGAATATCTCAAAGTGAGAGGAGGGAGAAGGGTGTACAGAGAAGAGGTAGATTGTTCCCAACGCCAAATCTTGCTTGCTTTACAATCCCACCCTCCACTGCCTCCTTAGTAAGATAGAGAGCTAGAGAAAAGAGGAAGAAGAAGAAACATTTTCTCCCCACCGGACATCTCCCCCCTCCCCCCACACACACCCCTGGCAAAAACAAAAATTTTAAAAAAAAACAAACCCCACATGCAAATAGCTCGTATGAGAGTAACCAGGGAATGTTATGGAAATGTTACCATGAACACCTGGGTCATCCAGGACCTCATCCACACCCATGACTGTGTCATCCCCCAGCTACCTTCCATCTCCATATCTACCTTAGCCCCCACCAAAGGGCCCCAGCTCTATTACCAAAGTAAATCTCCTGTTCAAAGGTGTTGTCGGTGGAGTAAGCATACTTTCCAGCTTGGCGAGTCACCTGCCGGACGTAGCTCTGGACTGGGGACTGGCAGATGATCTCTTCGTTGATATCCTCAGTGGCCTTGTTGTCAGATGTTGTTTCAACACCCTGCTCTTGAGGCGAGTAACTGGGCAATCTTGGCCGGAGTGAGGGAGGGAGGGAGAAAAGGGGGAGGAAAGGTAGGAGATGGACTTTCTCATTTCCATCAGATCCACAGCTCACTCCCTTTCCTATTTTTTAAAAAAATATGTTTCTATTGATTTTTAGAGAGAGAGGAAGGGAGAAGGAAAGAGAGATAGAAACATCAATTGGCTGCCTCCTGCATGCCCCCTACTGGGGAATCGAGCCTTGCCGGAAGCCAGTCCATCCTTGCTGCTTGACACAGTCGCTGCAGGAAAGAAACATCTGCACAGCATATGTTTCAAGGGACCTGGCGTACATGGCATACTGTTCTTAATATGTTTGCTCCCCTTAGCGCTATGTGTTTTAACCAAGGTCACCTCTCTGAGAAAGGTTGTTTCCCCAGGTAGGGATTTTTCCCTGAAGTTAGGGAGGGGATAAAACCCCTTAACTAAGTGCCAGGCGGGTAGTTAATCACTTTAACTATGAACAATCTCGCTTAAGCTACATAATCTTTACTCCCTGGAATGGAGATAAGAAACGCCCTAACCCTTGGAATAGAGATTGATAGGATTGGAATCAACTGGTATAAATACAGATGTAACAAGACAACAGGACACAAAACCTAGAGACAGAACCTAGCGAGAGAACCTGGCTGAAGAACCTAGACACAGAACCTAGCGAGAGAACATGGCAAAAGATCCTGGACAGAACCTGGCTACAGAACTTGGCTGGAGAACCTAGACAGAACCTGGCAACCGAGCCTGGCTGAAGAACCTGGCTACAGAAGAGCCTGCAACCCAGGAATGTGCCCTGACTGGGAATCAAACCATAACCTCTTGGTGCATGGGATGACGCTCACACCACTGAGCAACACCAGCCAGGCTCCCTTTCCTTTTTAAGCTCAAGGCATACACACACGAGCATTTAAAGAACACCGCTATCTAACTATTGGCCTTGACCCCAAGGTCCACTTGAATATGGAGCTGCCAGAAGGGCCTGACTGCAGCCACCTTCCCCCTTCCCTGGTGGAGCCACTCCTTCTGTACCCACTGGACAGCACAATACAGTCCCATCCTCCCGGCATTACCCTTCTTTAACACTGGTGCCCTTGGTGGATACATGGACTTGGGGAAGGGGACCCTCCTCCTACAGTACCTCACTTCATTATGTGTGGTTACTTAATGTTTGTTGGACAGACTATAAGCACCTTCAAAGATAGGTTCATGTCTATCTCATTTACGTTGCATTCCCAGCACTTTGCAAAGTAACCGGAAAGTAGTGGGAATGCGATTTCTATTTTACTAATAAATGGGTAAATAAATGAGCTTCCACTTATCTTTAGTTCACTTTTGGGAATGAGAGGTATCATAATAGCTTCAGTCCTCCCTCTAGCTATAAGTGAGGAGGAAACAATCTGAGACACGCACAGTAACCCTCTTCTCAGGCTGTCTACTTCTCTGCCCTGCTGCCAGTCAGTTTTTGAGTAAGTGACATGCTGGCTTCTTATCCAAAGGGAGGCAGGACCAAACCTCAGAGCCAGAAGGCTCTGCCTTCCTTACTCTCACTGTGCTTACATTTCTGGGAGCACCGGGACAATAACTGGATTAGCGGAAAGGGAAAGGCTGAGAACCAATCCCTTCAATGGCACTGGTTCTAACCGGGGAGCAATTCTGTCCCATGTGTCAATGTCTGGAGACATCTTTGGTTGTCACAACTGGAGAGTACCAGTGGCATCCATAGGAAAATGCTGTTAAACATCTTACAATACACAGCGCAGCCCTCTGCAACCTAGCATGTCGGTAGTGCTGAGGCTGAAAACCTTACTTGATGCAGATGGACAGAGCAGGTTGGCAGGGAAAACACAAGAGGTTGATGGGAGAGGGTAAGCCAGCCCACCCAGGATTCCTTGAAGGGAAGCCCAGGATTCTTAAAGGCATGTCGGGGGCCCAGCCAGTCTACCGATAATAAACAGGAAGCAGCAGCTCTGGCTGCTTTTTCTCCTCCGTGGGCAGGGTGACACTTTGTTCCTCAAAATCCGCCATCTCTGCTTCCTCCAGTTCTTTCAAGAGCTCCAGGTCGCTGGCGGAACTGAGCTCATCGCGGATGTGGCTCCAGTCGTATTGTTGGCGCAAGAAGCTCTGCCACTTGTTGGGGGAGACCCCGGGCCTTAAAGGACGCTTGTTCTGTATCCATCTGGCCGTGCGCTTGTCCAGCTTTTCCAGCACGATGGCCTCCCAGGCTCTGGCCTCCTTCTCGTGGGGCAGAAGCCAGGTTTCCTCATCCAGTTCCAGATCTGGAGTAGGTGGCAAGCTCAGAAAGTCTGGATCCATGCAGCAAAGAGGAATGGGAAGGCAAGACTTTTTCTGGACGGTGCTTCCTGACTTGGACTTCGTTAGCTTCTTCCTAAAATAGGTAGGACTTTCTGTTTTCTCAGCCTGGGAGCTGACCCTGGCTAAGGGACTTGAAGAATGCAACAACTTGAAGCTGACGGGTTTCTCAGGCCGGGCCTTCCTGATATGGGGAGGCTGGATGATGCTGTCTGCATTGTAGAGGTGATGGAAGCTGCACTGGCTGTAAGAAAGGCTGGCTAGCCCTCGCTGCCACACCACCTCCTGAGAGAAGGTAAGGTTTGAAGCCGCCTTTTTAAAATACTGGCTCTTGAGGTCTGCACAGTGCTGCGGGCTGAAGTGAAAGACTGGAGGCACGCTGGAGATAGAGGTGCACTCCTCCATGCTTCTTGGGTTTAGGTTGGAGAAAAGCATGCCCCGTCTCAGCTGTCGGGGGAGTGACCGATAGAGAACTTGAGGAAGAAAGGTCTTTTCCTTTTGGTTCCTGGCCATTGTTTCCCGGCAAATGCTTCCTGCCACACTACCTGGTCCAGAGGCAGGGCCTGGAGGCGTGACCTGTTAAAGGGATGAGAGGAACTGGTGAGAGCTCTAGGTCATAGAAGTTGGTAACCCATAGCAATACAGAAAGAAAAGAACTTGGAAGATAGATGGGAGGAGGGAAAGTCATGTGAATTAGAAGGATGAAAGAAAGAAAAGGTACAACATTCCAAATATTCCTTGCATCAGACCCTTGCTTCCAATCTCACACTTGTCCCCAAAGCTCAGCCCCTCATCTTCTTACGAGGGATAACTGCTTTTCAACAGTATTCCATGCTTCCAGTTTTTCCTCAAACGTTGCTTTCTCTCTGTTCAAAGGCTTATAGCATAAAGTTCAGACAACTCAACCTGGCACTCGGAGTTCTCCATGAGTGTGATCCCCAGTTAATGACCTTGTCCTGATATATAAGGGGTCTCCTAGCTCTTCTCCGGGTATTCCTTCCTTCACATAGTGGAGCTTCCATCTGTGCCTTCTATATGAAACTGGTGGCCTGGTGCACAGATTCATGCACATTAAAAGGAAAGTAATTAGAAGAAATATTTTAATATTGCTACTCGCCCTTTCTCTATAATAGAAGTGTCAGAGATGAAAGAAAATTAGTAAAATATATATGAAAATAATGTATAAATTGATTAATAAATAAACAATAACAACATGATATAACAACAACAAAAACATGATATAAAAACAATAAAAACATGATATAAAAACAACATTGATAAAAATAATGACTGATAAATTTATTAAACTTATTCTAATATTTCCCTGTGTACCACATTAAGAGTAAAAACATTTTCAGAGTGCTTGACTAATTTTCCTTTGATGTCCCAGCATCAAGAAAGGTTCAGGAAATCTGGAGTAGGATGTGCGTAGATTAAATAGGAGTCCAGAGACGAAGCATAATTTTGAAAGGCATTTGGGGGTCAGAGGAGCTTAGCTTAAAGGAAACTAAGATGAAAGGTCTAAGGCAGGGGTGGGCAAACTTTTTGACTCGAGGGCCACAATGGGTTCTTAAACTGGACTCAGAAGAAGGAGCTGTGGCCGTGTTTCCCGATGTTGCCATGTTAACACTGCTGCTGGTGAAGGAGTGAAGGAGCGGAGGGGAGAGCAAGAGAACCCTCCGCTCTTTTGGCTCCGCCGGCCGGATAGAAGAGCCGAACGGGCTGTAGTTTGCCCACGGCTGGTCTAAGGTCTAAGGTCCAAGGTCTCCTCGTCTCAGGACCCCATGCTTTTTATTAATACAACTTGTCCTGAGGCGAGGCAGAGATATACACTTCAAAGGGTCAGGGTTTGGTACAGAGTCCATTGTCAGAATGGGGGAATTAGCCTACGGCTGTTCAGGTGTTTGGCCAGTAGGAGGCAATAACATGTAGATTAAGACGCCCTTTTATCCCTCTGGCAGCCAACAATTATCCCTTTTCAGGTTTGGGGAAATGCCACCAGCAATTCCCAGATTCAGCCCTGCTGTCATGCTGGAATTGGTTTCTGGCAGAACTCTTCACAATTTTAACTCTAACGTCACTTGCTCTTTGAACTTGAGAGAAAGGAACATATAACTGACCATGTCTGAAAACGGGTTCAGGTAGGAATATTCCTACTCTGTCTAGATTGGTGCCAGTGAGAGCTTTATATGTATCGCACATGCGCAGGTCAACGTTTATTTTTAAATTGCCAGTGTGTGTCATATGTACCGGCCAGTCAGACAGTCAGACTGATGGATGGCTGGTTACTTAGCCTTTTATATAGAAAGACTAGTGGCCTGGTGCACAGATTTGTGCACATTGAAAGGAAATTAATTAGAAGAAATATTTTAATATTGCTATTCACCCTTTCTCTATAATAGAAGTGTCAACCAAATTCATGATCAACAGTGACAGATCGAAACATACACATGTTATTGGCTCCAGCAAGAGCTTTATATGTATTGCGCATGTCAACTTAGCCTTTTATATATATATAGAATAAATTTGTTTAGTTAGGCCTGCTTTCTGATTTAGCTAAACGTCTTCCAGCCCAGTGAAGCACCCCAACTTCTCTTTCAGGTAACTGTCAGCAACACAGTAGTAAATAGCAACACAAAGAAGATTATTATTGTAGATCATGCAGGGAGAACAAAGGGTAAAATATTTAACTACAGCAGTGTTTGACTATATTCTGCACAGTGAGAAAACCTGATGTAATTTTCAAGTTCCACCATTTCTTACTTCTTTTCAGTCAGGTCAAGTTTCTACTAAATCTCTGTTTTCTGGCTAATGAAACGAAAATAGGATTCCACCAAGTCTCCTATCTACCTACTCCAAGACTTCTGTGAGGATCAAATGAGATGAGGCATGGGAAAACACTTCACAGACATTTGGTTAGTGTAAAATGTTTCCACCTGGCTATAAAGCAAGTCTTGTTCCTGGGCTAGAGAAACTGCAAGGAGGCTAGTCACTAGGGAGAGGAAGCTGGGCGTTGCTATGTGGTGTCATTACCCGGACGGACACATAGCATGTTAGCCTTTTATATACATAGATTGCCAGTGCGCGTCATATGTACTGGCCGTTGGTTGGATGGCCACACGGATGTACGGTCAGTCACTTAGCCTATCTATATATATAGATAGCCTTTCTTCCATATTTAACACAAATTCTATTTCCCAGACCCAGCTCAATTCCTGCCTGCTCCATAACTTCCTTGATCTATCCAGGCCTCCATGTCATATGAAAATTTATAAATTACTTCTAGTCCATGCCAGTTGTTTTAACTTTTAATCCTGTGACACTTCAATTATTAAATATGTGCTCTCTAACTGCATTGCCCTGTCTCTGCTAGCCTTCAAAATCACCTGGTACTTTTCCATATTATTTCATAGTCATCATTGTTAGAATTTTTAACGGCTGCAAAATATTTTATCAAGTGTATAAATCATCTTAGCTCTTCCTTAATTACTGGGCAAGCTGTTTCCAGGTTTTAGCTAGCATGGTAAACACTGTAGAGAACCACTGCCTGGATTTAGTGCTTTGAAAAATTTTTTTCTTCTGAAGCACTTACTTGGACTAATAATGATAATTGACAATTAGGAAGTACTTTGCTAAGGGCTTTACACAGGGAAGATATTATAGTTTTTATCTCCTATGGGAAGAAGCCACAGCTCAAAGAGGTAGATAAGTTACTTCAGATCACACAGGTTGTAAGTAGAGCAGTGATGCTTCAAGCCCAACTGCCATTGTCCAGCTCCAGGGCACTTAACCTCTGTACCACACTGGCCTTGGTTCAAGCCCCACTCCCTACCACTCACTGTGCTGGCCTTGCCGTTCCCTGAGGGCAGGTAGGCCTCATGCACAATGACACAATTAGCTTGCCTTGCTTGCCCTGTGCACAAGGTGCCCTTTAGCTCAGATCTGACTTATTTCTCTTTCCTTTACAACACTCAGCACAGTATCTTCTCTCCTTAGGACTTGATTTATCCCACTGGCTTCTGTGTACTAAATCTCATCTCTCAGTGGGTTTCTTTTGTTAAGGACCAGCTTTCATCTAGATGTCACTAGGCCAAAATTGCTAACCTCACTCAAATGAAGTCCCACATCATTGATAGGCTATCCTTCTAGGATTTTTTGCACATAAGATGGAATTTGGTTGTTCCGTCTCTTCATGAAGGCAACATGGCCCCAAGGGTAGAGGATGATCACAAGGTGATATTTTTCCTGAAATTGTACCTACTTTTACTGGTTAAAAATAAACTGTTAGTTAAAAACAATATTAGTACCCTAGCCGGTTTGGCTCAGTGGATAGAGCATTGGCCTGCGGACTAAAGGGTTGCAGGTTCGATTCTGGCCAAGGGCATATGCCTAGGTTGCAGGCTTGATCCCCAGTAGGAGCATGCAGGAGGCAGCCTACCAATGATTCTGTCATCATTGATGTTTCTATCTCTCTATCCCTCTCCCTTCCTCTCTAAAATCAATTAAAAATATATTTAAAAAAAAAACAATATTAGTGTTCTCCTGCCCTGCATAGTGCCTAATAGAATATTTTATAATTCTTAACATATCAGTATATCAATAACTTGCTCCTAAGGCAGGGGGCATTTTGATTCTAAACACTTAAAAAAACAAGATGACTACCTATATGGAATGATTGGGCGGCGGGGGGGGGGGGGGGGGCGGGGGGGGGGGCAGCGGGTGTATCCCTAGATATATTCCCATTAGCCTGGGACATAAAAATCTTTGGTTACAATGCCAACATTCCAGAAAGAATACCATGTTATCATTATTAATTATTATAAACTAGCGTAGGGTCCCTAGGCCTGACCAGCAATCAGGACAGGTCGGGGTCTTCCGTCCCCCAGCTGCCAGCTGCTGGCTGCTGGCCGGAGCCTTCGTTTCATTCTGCCTCCTGGTGGTCAGCACACATCATAGCAAGAGGTCAAACTCCCTGTCAGTGGAACTCCCTAGGGGACAATTTGCGTTTTAGCCTTTTATTGTATAGGATTATCAAAGAATAGTTATCATCTCTATAAAAGGCTACTATGCTAACTGTCCAACCGTCCAACCAGTCGCTATGATGCACACTGACCACCAGGGGGCAGACACTCAATGCAGGAGCTGCTGAGCTGCAGTGACTTGGCAGCAGCAGTTCTTGGGTGATGCACCCCAAAACCAGAGAGGAGGGAGCCAGATTGCTTGTGGGGCCATGCGATTTCACCTTCGGCCACGTGTTATGTTGTTGCTGGGGCACCGTTGGTCCTGAATCTGGTTTACTGCACACGCGTTTGCGTTCCACACCCTGTACAACAGCAAACCTTGGGGGATGTTGGAAAGCCAATTTCAGCCCAATCCCCGCAGGCCAGGCCGAGGGACCCCACTTGCCGGAGGGACCCCGCTCATTCCGCAGATGCCAGGGAGGGACCACGGGAGGTTGGCTCCAGGGCATGTCTGGCCCCAGTTGCGCCCCGCTGACCACCTTCTAATTAATG